AAAAAAAAAAAAAAAAAAAAAAAAAAAAAAAAAGAAGCTCCAGCTAGTTCCATGCAAAAGGCCTAAGGACCACATTTAGTGGGGCAGGGCAGAGGGGAATACAGCACTGCTGACTGGGAAGGCTCTGCAGGCAGAGTCCACAGCCGGCAGCCCTGCAGACCCTCCTGGTTGCCCTCCCTGCCCTGCTTTTCCCCATCCCCTGTGATTCTAATGCAAACTGTTGCTCTAAAGCCATTGTTTGCATTCCCAGAAGTTCTAATTTAATTGGCCTAAGGCAGGGCCTACAAGAGTATTTTAAAAAACTCCCCACGTAATTGTAGTATGCAGCTGAGGCTGAGAGCTACTGTTTAAAAGGTGTATACCAGGAAAACAGTGCAAACATACTTCTGGATAGGTAGAGCAGTTTTTTGTTTTTTTGTTTTTTAATCTGCAAATAAGCACTTTATTATCAAGACAGTTCAGCGTCAGAACAAGGTTTCCAAAAGAGAAAAAAAGTGTAGATTTGACTTAATAGATAAGAGGGAATCCTCACTGGTTCTTGAACAAGAAGGTAACTTTATGAAAGCCATGTTTTTGATAAGATTAATTTAACCAGTGACATATGGCAGGGACTGGATGTAAGGCAACTTTGGGGCAACAGGAAGAGGCCAAGTTCTAGGTACTCAGCAGAAATCATATATAACCCCCCAAAATGGGACAACAACTACAGCCGGGTGGAGAGGCTAAAAGTACATGACTTTCTATGAAGGCGTGTTCCCACTAAATAATCTGAAGCTAAATTTAAGCTACAATTACATTTTGTGACTAATATGAAATTGCAAATCTTATTTCCAACTCTTGGACGTGGATTAAAAAGTGAACTTAAATTTATGCTGTGCCAGAGGAGAGTAAAGGTACTGAATAGTGGGAGAGAAAAAAAATGCCTTAAGTTCTTGTTCAGTACTACTTAAAACATAATGCATCCATTTCAAACACTTGGTTAAGTATGGAAAAGATACCCATTAAAATCATTGCTGCTATTACCCACCCAATGATAAAACTGTTCCTATTTTAGAAGAGTGCTCTTCCTCCCACTTGGCCTGCTGTCATTGTGCTCATTGAAAATCTACTTATCCCTTGTGTGAAGTCTCCAAGATTAAACTTTCCCAGAGGCTCCATGCAGAAGCTGTTTTAGTCCTTCTCTAAATCTTCTTTAAGTCCTTTGAACCTCCCCTTACTGCACTTACCAAACTGCTTGAGCAGTCTGTGTCCAGAGGGTGAAGCTACTGGTCCCTTCCTAGTATGGAACTAAATCTTGGGAGGTGACTTTTTCCATTTTACTTTGCCTTAATTAATTATCAAGCAACTATGCCATGCTTGTAACGCCACAATCTATGTTTCTAGAGTGCAAGAGAACAGCACGTTGGGAACGGATCCCTGTACCTGTGGAAAAGGCCATGCCCAGGCAGGTGTTGAAGCCAGTGATGGCCAGAATATCATCGAAGCTGCCAGCAGCCATGAGTAAGGTCGGGATGCCTTTTTCAACACCATAGCCTCCTTCCTGCAAAAGGAGCATTGAAGGCACCACGACAGCTGGAGATACAGCACCTAAAACAAAACTAAGCAGGCAGTGCTTTAGGCATTTATGACAGTATCTTACTCATTATTATTATTATTGTTGTTGAAAGTATAATAACCTCTACTCTTTTAGAGGTTACACTTTGGACAACTAAAGTCTTTCAGATGGGAGCAAAGCACCAACCCAGAAACACATACATATATGCAAGTTCTATAGAACACTTTTTTCAAAGTATGGCCATGGATAACCTGTGTTAGAACTACTTAGCCTGCCTAAAAAGTTATATTTATGGGTGGTATAGAAGACCTAATAGGATTAGGCCCCAGGAATCTGCCTTTTTTTAAAAACAAAACACTATGGTGTGAGGTTTGAAAAACATGGCCACAGACTTTTTGGATTGGAACCCAGTGACGTTAGGCCTTTTACCAGGATTGAGTATGTAAAATAAGACAACAGATTAGAAGGAAAAGGCCATAATGACATTGACAGTGACACTCATAATGGCAGCAGTAGTCACACCAGAAAGCATTTTATAGTGCTTACTACGTGCCAAACACCATTTTAAGCACCTTACATATATTAATTTAATCCTCACAATAACGCCATGAAAAAGCTACAATCATTATCTTTGTTTTGCAAATGAGTAAACTGAGGCACAGAGAGATTAAATAACTGGCCAAAGATTGCATAACGCAAAGTCATAGAGCTGGGATCTGAATCCAAGCAGCTAAGTACTTTCATATTTATTTAATTCTCATGGCTTTTAACCATTAGAAATAAGAACTGACAGTGGAAGGAAGAGACAGCAGAACCATCTAATCAAACAGTCTGGTGACAAAAGAAGGAGGAAAATACTTCTGGGTGTTGATGACTGTTGATATATTTATTATCCTTTATACCAGACTCTGAGGTGAGACCTGGCATCTCTCTCACCAGTCTGGAATCACGTATAGGCAAAAGATCATTACTTCTTGAATAGTTTAAATTATTATAATCACTGCAAAAGCTAGACATACACTATACACATATACTATCATTTGAAGTTATAATATTTAGATTATGCTGATATCGATGTTGTATTTTCTGATGTCCTTAAGAAAATGCTATCACGTGTTCTCTTGTAAGGAATCGGTGAAAGCCCTAAATGTCTGTGCATATTTTCATACGATAAAGAAAAACCATTACCCCAGCATAAATCCCCATTGCCATGGCAAACCCATGAGGAAGTGGGCAAGAAGAGCAGATGCACACGCCTCCACAAGACAAGGACCCAAGGATAATCTTACACAAACACCCTTCACCTTCTCCAGGGCCTGCAATAGAAAACTACACATACTAAAATAATTCTCTAAAGACATGCAGAGATTATGACATTAAATGCTTTTGCTTCAATATTCAGCCCACATCTGGATCATCACAAATCTTCCAGGAATGTTCCACTTAGAACATCTAGTGTTCTAAGTGTTTCGAGCTAGCTTATTTATTCCTCATAGCAGCCCTACGATATAGGTAATATTATGCCCATTTTGCAGATGTCCTCATCTTAAAAGGCTCAAGTTAAAGTGATTTGCCTATGATCATGACACTGGCGAGTTGTGGAGCTAGGTTTGCACCCAGGCGGGCTGCTTCCAGAGTCTGTGTTCATAATCCCCACGCTAGCTGATTTAACCCTCTCAGTGTTAGCTTTATTTATAATTTAATGGTTCCCCAAATGAGGCTTGGGTGAAAACCTCCGTCCCCCAAAACATGCATTTCTAAATCAAAACATTCCAAAAATTCATTCCTAATGAAAAAAAGCATTTAAAAAAACTCATACTTGAGACTCATTCTATATAGGAGGCAGTTTCCTGAGCCAGTACAGTTAGCCCTAAACTCTTATATAGGGCTTCGCATGCCAAAAATATGATGTCTTCTCTCTCATGACCATAATTTATAACTATGGCCCATATCTCTGTCAGAGAAAAGGGGGGGGCCTTTATTCTTGGTGCTGTCCCCACATAGTAACTCCACCTTTCTCCAAGAAAGAGTATGGGAACATCTTCTGGGGAGAGTTCTGCATGAAACAGATTCTCTTCTCTTCTTGAGAATGTCATGCACGATGCCCACTTCCATCTCCCAAAGCTCAGTGATTCTCAACACTGGCAGTGGTGAAGGGACAAAATTCCTAGTCAATAATTAGACATTTGTACTTCATACATTTGAATCAAGCCCAAGACCAGCGCGAACCAATATGACAGCCAGGGCTATGCTTCTCAAAGCAGCAGACCACTTGTGCTGGATCTGTACGTTATCACTGATGACAGGGATATTTCTGATGAGAAACCCAGCAAGCAGCATGCCTAGAATGGAAAAGTCAGACAGCTCTTTAGTTAGTTTTCAAATACAGGCAACAGGTTTTGGCACTTTAGCTGTGAAAGAGACTACCCTACAATCCTAGGAAATACTCTTCCTTTTTTGCTTATCCGTTAGGTGAAATTAGGTTAAGCTTTTAATTAAAATAACACAATAAATTAGAGGAGCTAAGACAAGGCTTTAATATGAAGATAAAAACAACAGATTAGAATAATTAATAATTCCTAAGTAACTGAACCTGAAAGGGAGAAACAGGATGCAGTATTTGGATAGGAAGTGTGATCAAATTCTAAATGTAAAATGTTTGAATACAATGTCCAGGGACTTCCCTGGTGGTGCAGTGGTTAAGAATCTGCCTCGCAATGCAGGGGACGTGGGCTCGATCCCTAGTTGGGGAACTAAGATGCCACATGCCGCAGGGCAACTAAGTCCACGTGCCGCAACTACTGAGCTCATGCGCTCTGCAGCCCGCGCACCACAATGAAGATCCCGCGTGCCACAACTAAGACCCAATGCAGCCAAAAATAAATAAATAAAATAAATATTAAAAAAATTAAATGTCTAACTTAGTCATCCCTTTGTGTGCAACTAGTAAAGAGCTCCTGACAATATTGGCTATGTCAGATTACCTGAAATGTCAATAAATACCTATATGGATTCCATTTTACCTTCAAACAGGATAATTTAAGAAAAAAAAACCCCACATAACCTGCTGCAAAGGCTTAAGGTGAGTTATGATGAAATGGACATTGCTCTGTCATGTCAGCTGGTGACTCTTTTTGCATTCAGCCATTCAACATTCACCAAATGCCTTCAGTATTTTAGATACTATAACAGGCACTAGAGATATAATAATGGACAAAAACTGGGTACTACACCTCAACAAGTTTTTCAGCCTCTAGGGGAGCAAGACAAAGTGACAATCTGAATTTTATGGAAGCATGAGGAGGTATTGTATGAGCTGAGATGGCAGGGGTGAGTCAGAGGGGTGCAAAGAAGGAGAAAAGGGGTAAAGAGGCCGGGGAGTTGAAAAGTTTCTGAAAGAGAAAGCAGTTTCTTCCAAGGTACGAAAAAGAAGTGTGACATTCTAGGAACTGCAAGTAGCTCAGTGTGACTGAGGAAACTGAGTAGTTTGTGAGGGAATCCTGCCCTCAATGATAATACCACATGCCCATGCAAAGGGAAAGACTTCTCTGGCAGATACTGTGAGGCTTCTACCCTCCGTTCTCCAGCACTACCCTCTTCTCACCATGTCCTTATAAGCACCACCCGTTATATGACTGGACAAATTTACTAGTGTTGGGATGTTTTGAATGTAAGCTATGAGAATAGAAAAGAATTACCCGTGTGGCTTTTTGTGACTTGCTCCAGACACTGTTAGGTAAAGGAGCATCACTCCCAGGCATCTTCCATCACTGCCATTTAATCTGGAAGGACTCTAAGTTCTGAATTCTGCAGTCATGGTCTTTCTAGAATTTGTGAAAATATAAACTAGGCTACAGTAACTATTTTTGAAAGAATAATGAGAAGAATAATATATGCTTATGGTAAAATTAAAAATTACTGACAAGTGTAAAGTGACAAGTATATGCCCAACCCCAAGGGCAGGAGTTATTTTTTAGAATGATTTTGGAGGTGGGAATGAGGGTAGTAAAAATAGTTAAACTGCTATAAACATCTGGCCTTTGTTGTGTTCGGATTTTTGATAACTGTCACCAACATGGCAGAAGCAGATCTTGAGACCTAGATCCAGGCCAAGAAAAAGAGGCCAGATGTTCTCCTGGTCTACCTTCCCTGTAGTCCCACTGGGGCTTGCTCTGAATATCACCTTGGACAAATTGCTTACCTCCTTTATGTCTTCTTCCTCAGCCCTAAAAACAGGCAGTGACCTTATGCTGAAGGTCATTTTCAGCTCCTGCTCCCCTCCCTCCTTCCTGGGCTCTTGGTTCCACTGGAGCAAACAGCAGTGCTAAGTGCCCTGTTAACCGTGCTCCTGCCGGCTACCTGCTAAAATCACATGATTCTCCTAAGTACTGACTTTTCTCCTGGTGTGCATCTCACCAGAATATTCCTGCT